AGATGAACTCAAAGATCTAAAACATTTTCTATATACACAAAATAACCATTTATCTCAAATATTGTTCACAAATCTGAAAAAATCTGTGATAGTGAGCACTTCTCCTTTGCCGAGATAATCCATCCCACCTCACAGGTGTCAAGATGCTGATTAGACAGCATGATTATTGCACAGGTGTGCCTTAGGCTGGCCACAATAAAAGGCCACTCTGAAACGTGCAGTTTTGCTTTATTGGGGGGGTGTGGGGGGGTCCGAAAACCAGTCAGTATCTGGTGTGACCACCATTTGCCTCACGCAGTGCAACACATCTCCTTCGCATAGAGTTGATCAGGTTGTTGATTGTGGCCTATGGAATGTTGGTCCACTCCTCTTCAATGGCTGTGCCAAGTTGCTGGATATTAATAATAATAATAATTCATTTTATCGCCGTACAAACACATAAAAAACAAGATACACAATACATAACACCAGCATAAGAGACATAAACAAGACAATCGACGGCCTTTTGTTTTGAGTTGGCGTAGTTCAGGTGTAAACCAAGGAGCAGAATGGGTGAAGGAAACAGACCGGGTTTTTAAAGGAGCCAGGGTATTGAGCAGTTTATGAAGATTGTTATTGTAATGAGAAACCAGTTCATCAGGCGGGGATGAACAATTTATGCTGGGGAGGTTGTCAATGCCACTGGAGAGTGTAGTTACATTAATATCCTTGATGTTGCGGAAGGAAATAACACCTGACAGATTTGGTTTGGGCAGTTTTAAGGTGACAGTAAAGGATATTAATGAGTGATCAGAAATGGGAAGATCAGTTGCAGTACATTTAAGAGGAGTGACACCAGAACAGCAGATCAAGTCCAGAATATGTCCTTTGGAATGAGTCGGAAAATCGATATGTTGCTGTAATCCAAAACTGTCCAGGCAAGATGTGAAGTCCTTTGTGAGAGCATTGTTGACAGTATCCATATGTATATTAAAATCTCCCAGCACTATTATGTTAGGTGAGAGTGAGCAGAGATGTGTGATGAAAGCAGCAAATTCGTTTATGAATTTATTATTAAGCTTCGGTGGACGGTAGACGCTTGCAACTATGGTAGGGATAGGCCCATTGAGTTGTAAGGCAATTGATTCAAATGAGCCGTGAACAGGCACAGATACAGACGAGACTTTCAAACTCTCGCGGTAAATCATCGCGAGACCTCCCCCTCTGCCGGTGGCACGGGGTTGACAGATGTAAACAAACCCAGGAGGAGTAGATTCATTCAGCTGTGAAAAGTCATTAGGTTGTTGCCACGTTTCTGTCAAACAGAGAAAATCAAACTTACGATCAGTTAGGAGATCTTGGAGAAGAGGACCCTTGGTCGTAAGAGAACGGATATTGAATAGTCCAAAGTTGACATCAGTGTGGTCGTGTTTATGTTTAGCGCTAACGTTAGCCGACCTGATTTAGCTGACTAAGACAGTATGGTCAACTTTGACCTGGATATGTTTGAGTTAGCCGGTTGGCCTAATCCAAAACATACGCGCTCTCGCTAAACGGTCCTACGACGCGGGTTATCAAGTGGATCGCTCAAGCCAGCCTTAGGTGCGCGTTTACATGAAAGGGGTGGTATTTGGAGCATTCGACCAATCACAAACATGGACAAGCGTACTGACAGCGCAGCGTTATACTTCCTGAAACTATAATATTAGACAAATATGAAGAAGTTAAACTTTAAACATCCATGACTCAAACACTTGATCCAGGATCAAAGCCACAGAGCTGCACCTGCAAGGTGAATACAGCTGGTAACAGAACAAGTGTTTGAATGCGTACATTAACAGGTTTATGATATCACTGCCCCGTCTAAGACACGAACTGACTTTCATTACATTTGTCTCGAGTGTTTCGTCAACTTAATGTGTTGCTTAAAATAATACTTCTGCATACAGTATGTGACACTGTGAGTGTTGCACGGCCAGATACGGCTCAGCTGACTCAGATAAGGAGATATATGATACATTATGATGTGATATGCCGCGGACTGTACTTAATGTTACTCTGATCCGGTTACTTATGTTGTGGCAGATATTTCAGTAAGCTTTCTTAACGCTAATGTTATAATAGTCAGATTGCTCTGAAGATGGAGGTGATATTCTATTCATGTTCACGTTCACACAGTCGGTGATTTTTGCCGGCCGTCTTTCCTGCGATGGCAGCTTTTCTGTATTTTCTTTCTCCTGTAATATGAGTTGATCGCTTTAAACTCTGCACACTGAGCTCTGATTGGTCAGCAGGCGGTGCTTTCACTGAGTTGATCTCTTAGCCTGCAACCTAACCTGCTCCCGACCAGGTGGGTATACTACGAATCTAGTTAAACATATCCTGGATATGTTTGAGTTAGCCGGTTGGCCTAATCCAAAACGAAGCCGCTCTCGCTAAACTGTCCTACAATGCTGGCTATCAACTTGTTCGCTCAAGCCAGCCGTGTCCTATCTAGTTAGGTGCGCGTTCACATGAAAGGGTTGGTATCTGGAGCATTTGACCAATCACAGACATGGAGAAGCGTGCTGACAGCGCAGCGTCATACTTCCTGAATGAAAAGTGAAATGAAACTATAATATTAGTCACATATGAAGAAGTCTTTAAACATCCATGACTTAAACACTTTATCCAGGATAAAAGCCACATAGCTGCACCTGCAAGGTGAATACAGCTGGTAACAGAACAAGTGTTTGAATGCGTACATTAACAGGTTTATGATATCACTGCCAAGACACCATCTGACTTTCATTACATTTGACTCGAGTGTTTCGTCAACTTAATGTGTTGCTTAAAATAATATGCATACAGTAGCCTATGTGACACTGAGTGTTGCACGGCCAGATACGGCTCAGCTGACTCAGATAAGGAAATATATGATACATTATGATGTGATATGAATGATAATGGGACATATCGACGTCTGCACTCACAGTGCCGCGGACTGTAGGCAACGTAATGTTACTTTGATCCGGTTACTTATGTTGTGGCAGATATTTAATTAAGCTTTCTTAACATAATAGTATAATAGTTATAATAGTCAGATTGCTCTGAAGATGGGAGGTGATGTTCTATTCATTTTCACGCTCACACAGTCGGTGATTTTGGCCGGCCGTCTTTCCTGCAACGGCAGTTTAAACTGTATTTCCTCCGCACACTGAGCTCTGATTGGTCAGCAGGCGTGGTGCTTTCGCTGAGTTGATCTCTTATCCTGGAAACTATCCTGCTTCGGAGCACAGACTAGGTTCCAGGATAAGTCACCATGGAGATCTAGCCCGCTAAAAAGTGAATCAGCTTCGTAGGACCGGAAACCCCGAGTTGTCCCTGAAGTTAGCCGGCTAAGCAAAAATCCTGCTTCGTATAGTATACCCCTCAGATGGATTGTATGGGTTTGGAGTCATCGATGTAAAATCTTCGCCGGGAACCACGGTGGATATATTTCCGACGGGGATGACGAGCGATGTCCAGAAAGAGGTGCAATGCCGGTGATGCCGGGCAGGTGGAATCGTAGTCGGAGGAGCTCAGCAGCTGTGTATTGGAGTGCCGCTGTCGCTAGGTTGAACGACAGGGCAGTCCAGATGAGAACAGACCACACAAACAGCTCGTTGATCCACATAGTTGTCGGTGATGTTTGGCTAGAGGATGGGCCTCACGCCGCGGAAGCAGCCAGGTGAGGGGTGGTGGCTCCGACACACAGCAGGTAGGGTTGATGTTAGTTCAAAATACACACACACTGCATATACGTACACCGGTTAATTCGATCGTTGGGCAGATACATCCAGATCATATTATAATGGCCAAAGTCATCAAAGTGAGCGATAACAGTTGCATAACGGTACGTCCACACAGCAGCTTTAAACAAATCTTCCAACGCTTCTCTGCCCATTGACTTTGAATGGGGATGACGTCACTTTGCCTCGCTTTTCGCCGAACTGCATTGTGGGGGAGCGAAGCGAAGATTTCCAGGATTTTCAGGATTCAAAAGTTGAGCAATGTTCTACTTTTGAAGCTGAGCTGGAAGCGTCAGCCAATCAAATCCCGTTTATGCAAATCTGACAGTAAAAGCGCTAGCCAATCAAACCACGTGTAAGCAGGGAGAGCCAGACCGCAGTTCATTTCCTCATATTCCAAACGAGAAATTACGGTAGCAAATCACCCGGTTCTTTACGACCAGAACTATTAACGGGATACAAACCGGATGAACCAGGCATGGAGGGAGGTGGGTGAAACTGGTAGGTTTTCGCCTGTTTGGGGAGTTTATATATATATATTGCTCGCATAAAATCCCCGGGGTTTTTTGCTTTGCATGTCGGGGGCGGGAGATTCATGTGATTGGTTGTTGGTCGCGTTGCTCGCAAAAAATCCCCAAGCTTTCAGACACGCCCAGCTCCAAGATTTTCAAGATTTTTGAAAAGCTGCTGTGTGGACGTACCGTTAGGCTACATAAAACTAAAAGCTAAGTGTGCCAGCGTTCACTCTCATCAGCTCTGGTGGACATTCCTGCTGTCAGCATACCAATTGCACGCTCCCTCAAAACTTGCGACATCTGTGGCATTGTGCTGTGTGATAAAACTGAACATTTGTAGAGTGGCCTTTTATTGTGGCCAGCCTAAGGCACACCTGTGCAATAATCATGCTGTCTAATCAGCATCTTGATATGCCACACCTGTGAGGTGGGATGGATTATCTCGGCAAAGGAGAAGTGCTCACTGTCACAGATTTTTTCAGATTTGTGAAAAATATTTGAGAGAAATGGTTATTTTGTGTATATAGAAAATGTTTTAGATCTTTGAGTTCATCTCATGAAAAATGGGAGCAAAAACAAAAGTGTTGCATTTATATTTTTGTTCAGTGTAAGTACAGTCCATTTACCAGTACGTATGTATGTTTATTTCAGCTTTCCCCAAAGAAACTACAACTACTAATCTATGTACTTAATTATTTTTGACACATTGATTTAGGTAGGCTGACGAGCATTGTTGTGCGTTGCTATACGTTTATTTTGTACACACAATATCTTGTTAGAAGTTCACACTTAAATACCACAAAGGGTTTTTTTCCGACACATTTCTGACTGCTTTACACTGGTTGACTTTGGGCTTGTTGGCTTATACTGTCTGAAGGAATTCCTCCCAGGGAGAACAGCTGTTGTCTGCAGGTGGGAAACTGGAGGTCTGCGTCTCCTCAGCATGTGTCCATGGTGTCCTTTTGGTCAAAGCTGTGGACTTGAAGTGTACTTTCACTGCATGGCTAAACTATTACCTCTAATGCAGAGCAGAACAACACATGTATATACAAAGAAACATATGACTAATAACACTAATAATAACATAACACTCTTCTTTGCCTCCTCTGAAAACTGGACAACCATTAAGGCTGCATTTCTCTTCACTGAAAAAACTAAAACGTTGACTTTAATTAAATGTCGTATGTCAAAAGATTTCAAATAACTATTAGGTTAGTTGAAAGCAATAATATTAAGTTTAAATAACAAATATTAAATTCAGCTAACCTAATTTGGCTATTTGAAATGTCTTTACATAATACATTTAATGAAAGTAAATCTTTCAGTTTTTTCAGTGTAACTTCTTAAGCATTCTCTTAAACAGAATATGCTTTCATATATATGAACTGTATATAATGGACTGTAAGTCATTCTAAGAACCCTTAATTCTATCGATCCAGATCTACAGGATCCACAGTCACACTGTACCCTGCTTTACCTTCTCACAGAAACATAACAGCAGTCATCATCACATTAAAAGCGCACAAAGCACAGTTCAGCTCTGCTCAGCACTGTCAGTCCGACCCCCACCCCCCCTACAGACGGTAGGTCATGCTGCACCGCCTGATGCAGTAACTGTTCGTGTTCTGTTCACTGATCTCAGCTCAGTTTCAGCATGCTGTCCCCATGTCTCAGTGAACGCACCCTGATCCTCCTGCTCTAAACAGCTGCTGTAACATTCTCATCAGCACTGTTGGTGGGGACCGTGCCCGTCAGGGTCCCGTTGGCGGGTGTGTGTGGGGTGACCTTGGCCAGACGGTGCTCCTTGCTGTGGGTGCAGCTGCGGGCGCAGAGCTGGCAGGAGGCGCAGGCGGAGTTGCAGCAGGGCAGGAAGCGGCAGACGCTGAGGCGCCACAGGAACCAGCCGGGGGACCAGCAGCACCAGCAGAGCACCACGCCCCCCCCCGCCACCCCCAGCACAATGTAAAGAACCAACAGGGGCAGGGAGGCGGGGGAGTCTACGGACAAGATCAAAAAATAATCCAATTATCTTTATTATAACGGCCGCCGTATTTTATTTGAGTTCAATGCAGGGTTGGGAGAGTTACTTTAAAAATGTATTTTGTTACAATTACTACTAATTTACGAAAATCAGTAACGTAATCTGAGTATCACAATAATTTAACCTGATTTCCGTTACTTTCGGATAACCCTAAATATCAAATGCAATGCAAATAAATAAAGAGAAAATAAATATCAATAAGGTGTTTTTTGTGTATTATGTATTAGTGGTGCATAAACCGATAAACCCGATAAAAGTATTAATAGCCCCGATAATATACAATATATATTTTGGGTAAAAAAAAGAAAAAAATACTGCGGTGTGGGTGGATTGGGATGAGGGGCGCTTGTTTTTCACTCGGCTCCTCCCGTTTTGCCAGTACTGTGGTATTAGTGGTTTAGGAAGAGGGGAGTTTTTCACAAATCCAGCGCTCCCTAACTCATGCCTGGCTGTGACGTAAATGGTGTGCGGCCGTGAAGCCAGGACAGTAAACAAACATGTCGCCGGTAGTATGGGACTATTTCAAAGTTTCACAGTTAGATAGTTCGCTTGCTATTTGTATTAACAAATGCAATGCAGAAGTTCCACGAGGAGGGAAAAAGGCAACGAGCTATAATACTTCCAACCTGATTAGTCACCTGAAACATCGCCATCGCTACGATGGTGTGTTAAAAGCGTACGAAGACGCCTGCGCTGCTAAACTAGCGGCGAATCCAAAGCCAGCTGCAAAGGCACCGGGGCTTTTACCTATCGACGAGGCTTTTGAAAAAGGCAAGAAGTTTGCCAGAGACGACCCCAGGGTTAGTTTTGTTCATAGTAGTAATGCTCATGTCATTTGCTCACTACTAGTCTTTTTTTTACCACCAGGTGTGCAAAAACTAGGTACATTTAATATATATATATATTATATTATTATCGGTTATCGGTATCGGTATCGGTCTTGAGAAGCAGGAAGTTATCGGTATCGGTTTCAAAAAACCAATATCGTGCATCCCTAATTATGTATGCCAGCAGAACAATGTGACCTTACAAAAGAAGAAACCAAGATATTTAGGATCAAAAATGTAAACTGTATTTTACGCTAAGCTTACAGAATAGTATATTACAAATTCTGTTTTAGTTTAACACATTCATTAAAAGCAAATACAGTATTTTTGTTTAATAAATCAGGCTTCCACCAACTCTACCTCGTCTACCAATAATATATGTATCTTTATTATAATACTCATTATAACATTGTGATCCTGCTAGTAATCCCCATTTAAGACAAATGTACCAGTAATCTAATGATTGACTACGTAATCCTGTTAATGCAGGTGGGAAAACAATAATATAACTTATCTTACTTTTTACCAAACGACTGATAATGTGCCTCCCTAACAGTTTTTTACTATTGGTTTGATGCCCAAAATAAGTTCTGTGGTTCACACAGCTTGCAAGACTTTCACATTTTGTTATACGACATTAAATAGGTCAGTAAAGGCCGCTAGTAAATGTCTATAAAACACGTTTGCCTATAAGTCACTAAATAAGTACAACGTTGGGTAACACTTTATATTAAGGTACACAAATTAACCATCAACTAGTTGACAATTAACATGCATATTAACAGTATATTGGCTCTTTATTAGTCATTATAAAACCCTTATTAATGCCTTATTCTACATGACCATATTCTACAAGTAATAAGCCATTAGTTGAGAGTTTTTCCTCAATAACCCTCTAATTAGTGCTTATTTATTGCAAGTAAGGAAGTTGTTGTACATGAGTTTTGGTCTTAATATGCTCTGCTCAATATGGGCCTAATAAGGCAGTAGTACCACAAGAATAGTAATTCTCCCTTAATAACACTTAACAAATATGATCTATTCTTATGTAACAAGACATGAAACTATAAGTGTTAATTTTGTCTAAATAACTCAACATTTGATATTTCTATCTAAGAACATGTTCCCTATTTTAAAGTGAAGTCTTGTTCATAACCAATAAGCTAGTAGTTTGACTCTAATTGACCAGAACATGTTCCCTATTCTAAAGTTGTCTCCTCTTCACACTTTGTAAATACATTATAGCACACACCTACTGAAATTAACCTCAACAGTACATGAACAAAGTAGGCACACGTTGAAATATCTGTTTTATTAATGAACCACTAAAGAGAGGTTCAGACACATCCCAAAACCAACCCAGTCTCACGGCATTTCGTGTTCACCAACACGATTTGTAATCTATTGATTCGTGTTCACCAACACGATTTTCCCCTTTTTTTCGTGTTGCATAGCACGATTTTAAAAGCAATGTATTTCTACTGGTAATGTGTTTTGTGCCTGCAGCACGTCTTTTTCTCCGGTCGGGTCGTGGAAGACCGGAAGCTATGTGGTTCATAAAAACATGTTCTTACTCAATATCAAGCCACAATTATTGCTTTTATTTGAAATCGTATAATTTCGAACTTTTGTTGCCGTCTGTGAGGAAAATAAATGGGGCTCAGAGCCTCAGGATACTGAAATCTGTATTTTTTAAATCTTTTTTTCCTTCTAATTTGTTATTCTTTTCAAAATAACACACTGTTATTTACTCACCAATAACACACAATTATCCTTGCTTTTATTTATTGGTTTAATTCCATAATCTCGGGCTTTTTTGGCGTCCGTCAGGAACTGAATTTCAAAATAAACTAACCGGAAACAGACGTAGGCCTATAAGGGACATTTCGAGCATCATTGCGATTGTCAACATTTAAACAGCCAGCTTAGAAGGGTTCAACCGCCGGGCCCTGGCGTAGACAGGAGGCCCCTCGGTAGTGACGTGGTGCTCCACGCCATGCTTAGTGGTAAGCGCAGAGAAGGTGGGCAGCGACAGGTCTGGAAACTCGGCCAACAGTCTGAGAAACGTGTCTGCCCCCGACAGCGAGCCCGACAGCCCGTCCGTCATATGCTGCGCTGCCAAGTGTGCACACGAGGGAAGAAAACGTTAAGGCATCAACCAAACGCCTATTCTTAACGTCCACTAAGAGTCCATGAGCACACAAAAAATCCACTCCGAGGAGGGGAAAAGAAATGTCCGCTGTCACAAAATCCCAGCTGAAACGCTGTCCTCCGATGCACAAACACATAGGCCTCACGCCGTACGTGCGAATGGGACCACCGTTAGCCGTCGTCAATCGCGGTCCGTGCCCACCCCGGGTGACGTCTTCACTCGACGCTGGAACTACGCTCCGTTGAGCGCCCCTGTCACACAGAAACAGGCTCCCCGAAACGCTGTCGCTGACGAAGAGGAGCCTGCACGTGCCGCCGACGCTCAGGGCCACTACTGAGCGCCGGCCCCTCCGTTTCCCGGGGGTTTGTAGCTGCACGGGGCGATGCATTTCTTCGCCATTGTCCCGAAACGTGCGTGGTAAAAGCACTCTCCGGTGTCTCCACGCCGGCTCGATACAGCCGTGTCCTGCCTCCGCCACGCTTTCTTGACTGCAAATGGGCCGCTGAGCGTCGCGGCTAACGTCTCTGCACCGGGCTGTTGTGTAGCCAGGAAAAAACTATCTGCTTCCTCAGCCAAGGCACGGGGCTCCGCGACAGGCGTGTTGGCCAGCGCCGTCTGGACCCGGGGAGGCAAGTGACGCAGGAAAATCTCCGTGAATAATATCCGGGGATCTTCCCCCCCTAGCAGATTTAGCATTTTCTCCATTAGCTGGGAAGGCTTGCTGTCTCCTAGGCCTTGAATGTCAAGTATCTGGCGGGCCCTCTCCTTAGCAGATAAGCTAAATGTCTTAAGGAGAAGGGCCTTAATCGCCTCATATTTGCCATGGTGTGGGGGGTCTGTGATAAATCCCACCAACCTGGACGACGTGGAGCTCCCCAGCGCTGCTACCACATGGTAGTATTTCAGGTCCCCGTCACGGACCTGTCGGCAGGCGAAATGTGCCTCCACGTGTGCGAACCATGCCTCCGCGGCGTGCTCCCAGAATTCCGGCAGCTTTATGAAAACATCGCGCTCAGCCATGTTCGTTAATTTTCCGGAAACTTTCTCTAAAAGTCAGGGTCACCAGTGTAGTGCCGTGAAAAGAGAGTCGGAGGTGGTGTATTAAGAATGGAGTTCCAATCTTTATTATCCATTACTATCAGAGAGGTTAACACATCCACTGCTCTGCCTGATGAGCTAGCAGGAATGGCAGCTAAAGCTACAGGTGTTCCACACTAAAGGGTCCGTGTGGCAACACAATAAGCAAGGTGAATTATGTCCAATAACGTGTCACCACAATACACAGATTAACACATAGGACAGCTAAGTGTAAACAAGGTAAATATAGCTAATGCTAGCTGTACGCTAGCATGTATGCTAACGCTACCGTGTATGCTAACGCTAGTGCGAATGCTAACGCATTTTCTCATTGGGTTTAAACCATAGACTGTATATAAATGGACGTAGTGTCAGTGACGTCACCCATAGGATTCTGCAGAGTTGCCGTGAAGCCCTTAGTAGGCGGAGTCGGCCACTAACGGCTCGACTGTGACGTCAGAGTCTAATCCCGCCTGCTCCAAATAAGGGCAAAGGGGCGGGGCCGAGGCGGGGCCGAGGCGGGGCCGAGGCGGGGCCGAGGCGGGACCTGCTGCCTCCGAACTGGAAGTAAACAGAGCTAGCTCAGGCTAAGAAGCTAAGCTAACATGAAATACATGCATACCAAGTTACTGCTAACAGTGTAGTTCCCCTATATAAACGTTACATTCATAATCAAATGAGACAATCTGCAAGAGAATTAGCTATATTTTGTTATTCTTAATGCTTGTCATTCACACGTTGAGAAAAGACGGACTCCACCGCCCGGACCTAACGGAGCCGCAGTGGGCTAGCTCCGGGACGCCGGTGTTCCGGATTAACTGGTTCCCCGATAAACTGGTTGACAGATGTGGAGGCGTGGCCTTCGACTGAAATACACATTTCGATCGCTTCTTCTGTCGT